AATAAACTTGAAGAACTGAAATTCTTCTACTTCTCTCCTATGTAGATCTTTAATTAGTATCATAACTATATTATTGGAACACTTATTATATCTCTTCTCATTGTGGTCCAATTTTTTCTGGTAGATCTGATGTATTTTTGAAGTATGTTCTTGGCAGCAATGTCGAGCTTGTTAATTGCGGGCCGGCAGCTACTTGCCTCTCTCCGATTTGCAGCTGGGGGCTCACAAATCTTGTCACCGGCGCGATTCAGCGATGCAAATATCTACGCAGCATGCAACGAACCCGTCATATGGGTTCTGCGTCGGCGACATCCATTTCTCATTTGATCTTTATCGCCGGGCAACATGCAACCAGGTACCACCTCCCTGGCACAAACCACTCCCACCGCCCCAGAAGTCCTTGGACAGCCTGATATCCGTATTGATTGTAATCAAGATTGGCTTTTTGCATGCGCCCGGCTGCCAAAGCGATTTGTGGTCTGGAAAACTGTTTCGCCCAGCGACATTTCAAGGTTTTCTGTCACAGCAGCCGCTCCCCCGATTTTTCCCTTCTTCCGCCCCTTTGCAATTTGCCAGTTTTTAATTTCCTCCGGGTCTCTCATTAGCGGTCCGCGTTTCAGGTGGCCAACCAGGCCCCAGATGCCAAAAGTAGGTCGAAACGGGTCGCTTCTCGAAATTGTGGCACACGCACCGCTCAGACACCTTAGTGGATTTTGGTTTTTTCGCTATTTCCAGCTGACTTTTTGCCCCGACAATTTAGGAACACAGACAATGGATGGGTGTAAATCATGTTTGCACTGCCTGTCTGTCTGTCTGGCACTGGCTTTTTGGCCCAGACTTGACTTGACTTTACTTGCCTTGTGGTCAATGGCTTGTACATAATGGCTGCCCCAAAACAACAACTACAATCGCCTCTTTGGGGCATTTGCAAACAATGACATTATGCTGACGTTTATTAATCGCATTTGCGAAATTAATGTCGTGACATTTTCGGTTTAATGTAGTTGTAATAAATAAATGCGCCGTTTACCCATAGACTAACAGAAAAACAACAATAAATATGTATGGTATAAAAAATCAATACAATAGTCGCAGAGACAGACGGCAGACACCGCAGACAGTTGCGGCTGTCAGTGCTCCAGATTATGTAATTCCAATTTGCATATAACAAATGAGCCAAGTGGTAGCTACTTTATTTTTTTTCCAGCATGTTAGGGATCCCTGACTTAAGTTTGCAACGTAACCGAAGTAGCACTTCCTTTCACTGATAAAGAATATGGAATAGTCAATGTGAATTAAATATAACACCACCCTTTTTTGTCACTGTCACCACAAGAATTATAACATGGTTCATAGCCCATTTCAATGTTTTCAAATCAATGATTTATTCAACTAGGTTTTCTAAAAAAAAATTAAAATAAAAGACTGAAAAAAAAATACTTCACTTTACCCCAGATGGGACTCGAACCCACAATCCCCGGCTTAGGAGGCCGATGCCTTATCCATTAGGCCACTGGGGCATGTGCTACGCGCCGGCAAAATGCTATTTTCAGCTTACGGCGCAACGTCATGGGTGGTGACTCACTAAGAGAACGAAATTTTCAGAAGGGAGCGCAAAACGTGTTTGTTTATTAAACACCTTTCGGGGTGGAAATATACCATGATGAAATTACCTGTGTTGATATTTCAGCAAGAACACAGGTACTTGGATCCAGAATATTCTATTATAAGAACCTCAAACATTTGTTGGCAAAGGGAAACACTTGAGCCACAGAGTAAACATAACCCAAATATTTAGTAAGTTATGCACATACATATGTATGTTTGTTTAAACAGTTGCTTCGCCACAAAATTAAATTCAAAACACCAAAAAAATATTCTTACTTTTTTTCTTGTTTGCTGATTCTTAAACACCCTGAGTTTCATGTAGGCATTTTGACAGCCACAAGCACATGCCCCAGTGGCCTAATGGATAAGGCATCGGCCTCCTAAGCCGGGGATTGTGGGTTCGAGTCCCATCTGGGGTAAAGTGAAGTACTTTTTTTTCTTTTTTAATTTTTTCACATAAGAGCTATAGATAAGGAACTCTTATCGCTCTATGGTAGCTAATTGATAAGAAATAAATTTAATTTACGCTAATATTTTGATTAAAAGTTTTTAGAGCCTTATCTCAAGAAAAAATTCTAATTTTAATTCCATTCACCATGGACTTATAATGGTAATAATTCTACAATTCTGTTATAAATTACTATTAAGTTCCATTGATTAGCAACAGTATGGAACAAAAATGTAAAGAATGTCTGAAATTTTCCCGTGGGTGTCGGTGAAAGTGGGTGACTATTTCGCAAGCTATTGGCAGTGTTCCATCAAACCAGATTATCGGAGTGCCGCTCCCAAATGCCGGCCCCCCCAAGCCGAACATAAACCATGGAAACTCGTCACAGCAGTTGACATTTCGCTGTGCCACTTCCACTTAATTTAACAACTTTACGAGTGCCAGCCATCGTCTTCTAATATCGTTTTCAGGCATTTTCACCCCGGCTCTTAAATGGCAATCAGCTTTCTGATGAGTTGTCAAAAACGGCGTCGCCTGGCGTTTAGGTGGATGCACCGCCAGTGGGCGTGGGAGTGGGTGGGTGTGGCCTGGCCCCGCTTGGGATGAAATCCATCCACTTTAAAAGTTTGCCAAAAATTGCGGCTCATAATTTCACTTTCGCTATCTGAAATATGCATGGTCGTAAAATTTGCCAACGCCGTCCAAATGGCCACCCAGGGAGCCAAGGATGCACAGGCATCGTCGGATTGGGACTGAGTTGGCTGGGAAGGCTGGGAGGTGGTTAGATGGAAGCTTCGGCCATAAGCATTAAAATTGCATACAGGCTGGCAGGCCAAAAAAATACTAAAAAATAAAACTGTGCCTCGCATAGTTTCATTTGCTTTACGATTCAGCAAAACTTTGGCTGAGGATGCACGGAAGTTGGGATCCGGGAATCGGGGAGGGATAACAGCGGGCTGTAAGGCAGTCTCATCATTAATGTAAATTCATTGTTGCATGTTGCTGGAGGGGGAGGGGGGTTTCAGGGGTTGCCCTACTGCCTGCATTATAACAATTCATACTGAATTTTTGATACGAATTCAACTTTCCCACGTACGCATAATCCATTAAGTAAAAAATGGGGAACTTTCGACTTGGAAGTATCTCTCTATTATTTTGTGAAATGGAATACTTTACTTTGGTATAAGACACTAGTTCCTGAATAAAAATACTTTGAATAAATATGTATAAAAAAAAGAGTGGTTCTCATAAAAAATAATAATATTAATACGTAATGGTGTATCAAGTAATGTCATAAAAGACTGTACAGTTGATTTTCATTGATAGTATATTATTAGACGAAATATTTTGTATTTACAGGATAAAGTACTTTCGATTCAAAATAGTTCTTATAAGTACAATTAATTTAGTTGGATATGTTTTGAACTAGGGCTGCCATTGCATACCCATTAGGACAAGGATTCCTGCAGCAAGGGAAAGAATTCCTCTCGCCCCTATACACCCATACGCCCCACCTCAGAGTGAAAACTTTTTGCAGAATTAATGGCAAGGGTACTTTAGCACCCCGCGGAAACTAGGCCAAAGTCCGGGTGCTCTTTTATATAGAGCGGGGAAACGAAATGGTTTGGTTGGAGGGGGGCGAAAAGGCATTCTGCGAGGTTTATGGAATGCTCCGCAGATTGCATTTGTTGCATTTTACTTAATTGAAAAAGGCCAGCAATGTGGGGGAAGGCCGTAAAAGGACAATATCGCTGTCCCTAGCCCTCTATGGGCTGCCTGCGCACTTCATAAAGCTGACAGGGCCCGGATCGCACTGGGCCGGCTATAAAAGAACATGACCAAAGAAGCGGCTGCCGAGGAGGCAAACACACACCAAAATAGACCGCCAGCGGATTGCCACAAACGGGCAACAAACGGGCCAACTACAAAAGCAAAAGCAACAAAGCCATGGCATCTGCAACAAGCAACGGCAAACAAACAACGAGCGGCAGAAATTATCTACTCAGATTATGTCGAGATTAATTACATACGCTGAGCGCCATTGTCTTGTCAATAAATTGTCGTTGTCGTCGACGTCGCCTGGCATCGTGTGGCTTAAAGATAAGAGGGCCTCCGACGCCGACTACCGAAATGTTAACTGGCTTTTCCTTTCTTCTCTTTATATTTGCTGCCACTTTTTTGCCATTTTTTGCCATTTTTTCCCATTTTTTTTTTGGCTGATGCTGTCAAAATTGGTTGCTCAACCCGGGAGCCGCAGCCAAGCCCCTCGTCCTCGGCTAATTAATTTAGAAATGTTGCCAACATCAGCGCGACGAGCCCACCAAAGGGAGCGCCCCATGGACCACCGTTAGCGTGCAAATAATAATGAAATGATATAGGTTTAATCCCCCGATAAGCATCGTTCCGCATCTCTCTAAGCCAAAGTGCTCGCCAAGTGCGCGTAAATTAATTGGCCAGCAGGCCCAAGAGAGAGGGCCATATGCATATGGGCAGTTCCCGGCTCAGAAGACTGCCGGCCAAGTTTATGTGGCTTCGTCTTTGGCCAAGGGGCACTGCTGAATTTAGTGCTTGCTAAGCGCCGAATGGCCAATGTAAATTTCCAGCGTCTGTGTGCCTTCTTGGCCCGGCCTAAATGTGCCAGAGGATCGAGGGCTAAGGCGGCCGAATGATGGCCCACGAGCATGGGCAGGGCTAATTAGAATGGATAACACGATATTGGCAGCGCTGCACCTGGAAAATACTGCCCACCATAACTCCGGATGAGTGTTTGGCCATGTAAAAGATGCGGTTCGAGATTGCGGAGTCTGAAAAAATATTGAGATGGGGAAATATAACCCATCTCTAGGATAAAGACCAAGCGGAAAGCTACGAACTTGAAAGGTCTGTTATCAATATTCTACCTAAAGGTATTTATTCTATAATAACAGATTGCCTTAAAGGTCTAAAGAAATTATCTTCCTTCTTTCAAGTCTGTTTTTAAAGTACATTAAAATAAGAGATAAGTCGTTTTTTGTTAAACATATCTTCTTATACTTATAAGACTATGTATTTGATTAAAATGGCTTAACCTACTGTAGATCCAAGAGACCCTTGCCATCAAGAATAGCTAGCAATCTAGTTGAACTTCTGATCACAATATCGCTGGCATGGATGGACTTCTGAAACCTCAGTCCCTCTTCGGTTTCTTTATATAGACTTGAAAAGTCTGAGGTCACTTCACTGCCATTGTAGATAATAACAGGTTTGAAGAGATGAGACAAAAGGGCTATAAAGTGATAATGGTAAAGTAATACGATTCACCAATAAATTTCACTTTACTTACTCATGAATCGGCGACGTTCGAACTGAAGCCGAAAATCTTGAAGGCTGGGAAATATACCGGTATGAGAAAGCTTTTCCAAATTTGCTTTCAGATCGCTATAATATTTCTCAACGAGTTCTGATTCCATGTCCTGAAACTCCTCCCTGAGGGAAACTGTGAAGAAGTGGTGCAAGTCGATGGCGGGGGAGGTGCAGTTGCTGAATTGAAAATCTATAGCTACAGATGTCTGGGGATGACCCTCATCATCGTACTGAAACATAATATTGGTGGTCCAGCAATCACCATGGATCAACGTTAACAGTTCTTCTTCATTCACTTCAAATATCCTAGCCCCATACTCCATAATGAAACTATGCAATTTCTCCAACTTGTTGCCATATCTTCGCTTTATATCGGGTTGTTCATTTATGAACCTTAAGAAGGCCCCAAACACACCCTGGTATACCTCTGTATAGCCCTCTTTGTCGCGCGAAAAGAAATGGGTATAAAAACACTTGGATAGAAGTTTCGGATGGCGCTGAATCAGGATTATGGATGCGGCATGGAACTTGGCCAACATTTCCAAAGTCAGTTTGGTATGAGCCAGATTTAGCTGCTTTACTCGATCCGCACTAACGTAGTTGTACTGCGACAGATCTTCCAGTATAATGGTACTATATTCCCGGTCCACAGCGATGGCATCAGCAGTAATCTTTCCTTTAAGACCAGCTTCCTGGAGCAGTTCCTTCATTTTAGGCAGGACGAACTCGTACATGTCCATTTCCCTGTTGTACACATCGTACTCCACGAAAACCTTGGCTTGGGGAACATTATCGGATAGAGCTTGCTTGACGATGTAGGACCTTTTCTGAACCAGTCCATCACCCTGCTGATAGTCCACGTGGATCCGGGTCATAAGACTCATATAGTTCTGACCTTTTTCCGTCGCCGGTTGGGCCCAGATTTTGAGGACCTTGAGCTGATCATCTTTGTAATATGTCCTTAACTTTGGCTCTAGGTACTTCTCGGTCAGCCAAGTGGGAAGCATTGTTTACTTGATGTGGTTTCTCGAACTTCTAACGCTTTCGCTCTAGGTTGCACTTTTATATTTGGAAGAAATGGGTTCTTATCGGTCACAATTACAAGCGCGATTAGATTTGAAATAGCAGATAACGCTTTCGCTCTGGACTACACTTTTATATATAAAATCGGCTAAAATTAAAAGCGCGATTAGGTTAGTAATAGCAAATTGTAAGCTATCTAACAATTGTTCATTCTGCTTTTTACTGATTAGTTGACCTGCGCCATATCATTGCTATTCCACATGAATTACAAGTCTAGAAAGATTTCTTAGGTAAATGTTAACTGAAATAATATAACACGTCTGTTAGATAAAACACTTATTGATTTATTTCACCGTAACTAAATATATTTTTGCCAATAGAACTATTCTGTTAGAGATTTTATATCAGTAATAATTTTATTGCAATTGTTGACTTGCTTGAATTTGCTCATTAGTAGTACTTCATCCAAACACACTGACTGCGATTGTAAACATTGCACATTGGAGGAATTTGTTTGATAAGCGGATAAGAGGTGACAAGTGAGAGGTTTAAAGTAAACCTTAAATGTGGAAGGCCTTAAGAGAATTTCACACATACGATCTAGTCGCCCGGCAATACTAATTTCATTAACAAATATTTACTGCCGCATTACTCATCATTAATAACACTTGCCCAGAGGATGGTGCGAAATATCCCTCATCCTCTCTATAAACGAGTGCATTTCTGCCCCAACTCCGACCCCATGTAATTATTTATAATTAAAGTTCCTGCTGTGTCTGTGCTTCGAATGACCAAATGAATGCATTATACAACTGAGAGTTTACTGCCAACAACAAGGGCACAAACAAGCTGTCGTACATAAGGGAAATACATGCCAAATGTATGAAGATGACGACTGCAAAGTGAAAGTTCCCAGGTTCACTCTATTTTCTGTTTGTTTACTGTAAAGTTTCCCTAAGCTGTGCATATAGAAATTCCATTACTTGGGAAATCATTTCGCAAGTGCATATGGGATGATGTTACTTTGCTGTTGATATTTGACACACTGGGAGGAAAACCAAGATATGTCTTGTATATATTATATATTTAAGGATAACTTAATATAAGTCTTCTTATGAGTCTTCCGCAAAAATGACAATGTTTTTTAAATCACCCAAAAAGTATGCTACCAGCCATAAAAGTAGGCAACAATATATTTTTATCCGAAAATTTCCATGGCTCCCTTTAAAGGCAATGTCTTGATTTCCACTGCATACTCTTAAGCACTAATTTAAATGATTTTTAAAACATTTGAAATCATTTATGTTACACTTCCAAATTTATTCATAAAAAATATACAAAAATGAATAAAGAAAAGTTTTAACAAATTCTTAAAGATGTAAAAATGATGAAAGTCCCACATTCGGAGTTAGTTTTTCCTCTGTACTGCCATTTGTGGACAGTGTGGATCAAAGTTTTGGGGCTTTCTAGCTATTTGCAAGGCACGCACTTGATCCACCCACTCATACTACCACACTCTCGTAATTTCCCAGGCGGTACAACGGTACTTTGACGGCAGTGACGCCATTTTACCGGCGGCCATTTTCCGTCTGCCACTTCCGCCGTAGCGTGCCGGCTGAATAATTGATGCCGCGATGGGCCGTAATGGGTTAAGGGCTGATCCAGCGACTGAGTCGCTATTAATGAGTTCCCACCGCCTATATGCATAATGTATAAAATATGTACGGCTCTGCCAATGACTCAGCCCACCCACGAAGCAGTTGACAAATAAGCGCTTAAGTAATTTGCCACCGTTTGCCAACAGAGTGGGGACTTCACAAGTGAATATTAAATAAATTTTCCAGTTATTGCCTGCGTCTGTGCGCGGCCTCAACGGGTTAACCAAAGACCGGCGACGAGGGCTGCATTCAACTTGTAATTAATGTCAAATATTTACACATTTGCCGGAGATCAAAGGTCTGCCAGCGAGTCTCACAGCAGCCGGGCTAATTAAATGAGTATTTATATTTAAATTACACAAAACTACTTAAAGGCTTTACCCTGGAGCCAGAGGCTCACGAAGTGGGTGGATTTTTACCTAAGAATACAGCTGGAGGCAGTGGATGTCTTCCGCCTCCAAAAAGGGCGGAAAACCAACCCTTGCCGGTAAGCACCATATGGCGGGTGTAGCTTATTTCCCGAATAAATAATCAAGCTGGAAAAAACTGTCACTTAATTAGCCCAAATTAGTTAGCTTATCATTATAATGAATATAAATAAATCATTGCAAGTAGCTCCAAACAATTTACATCTACTTTTAAGTCATTAGACAGATCTTATTGAAAGTTATTATAGTAACCAATATTATTATAATCAATAAAGTGAACTTCTATTATTCAATTCCTATTAAGATATATATATTGGAGGCATTTTTTAGATTTTAGAGTAAAGTAAGTAAAGTAATCATAAGATAATAAAGTAGACTAGAAATTTTTAAGCATTTAACACAGGGAATTTTTTTAAGTTAACTTCAAGTCCTAGTTTTGAACCCCCTACTAACTTTTACTTTCACACTTTTTATGAATATAAGAAAATCACTACATAATGTTTCGTAACCCCTTTCATCCATCATGTCAATTGAGCTTAACGCAAAGTGGCCTTATCCGAACCGATGTTACTGCTAATTTCGCTAAACTTATCCCTTTTACTTGCTGCTCCTGTCGAAAACTTTTGCTGCAGCCGAGAATATGCACAAAGTTGAAAGGTGAACTTGCCGCGTTCGTTATCCTTCACCGGCAATTTGTCGCACAATTTAGCCGGCATTCAATTTGCTTCGAACTCGCTCGTCAAAGGCTTTCAGCTTGTTAGCGCTGCACTCAATTGGAGGCATTCAAATGCCGAGCGGTCGAGTGGCAATAGAGGGTTAAGGTTGTGGGCGGGCCGAGGGCACAAGGCGCAGGGCGGGGCTGCTGCAATTTGAAAATGCAGTCGCGCCCTAGCGGGGACAAGAACCCGTGGAGCAACCAGTTCCAAGCTCGCAACAGCAGCAGCTCGTGTGTGATATTCGGTATACGACATGTGGGAAATGCGTGCAATCTTGGTCCTTCCGCGGAAAACCAGTATACGGGTCCGGCTTTCGGCTCCGGCTCTCGGGAATCCGGTTCTCCAGTTCTCCAGGTTTCCGATTCTCCGATTCTCCGGCGCTGTTGCGGCTCTGTTAGCCGGAAATGTTACGGTGCACACACACGAAATGCATTTTGTAACCCAATTTCCTACTTCCGGTGTCTTTTCGGCAGCCGCACCACCCACTGCACCACCCACTGCGCCACCCACCGCCCGCTGAGAGTCGTGAGCACGTGGGAGAGTGGGCGGAAATGAGCTTGGCCGGAAAATTAACCCACTGGTTCTCTCGCACACATGGGAGCTTTTCCACACATGCTCGAGTCGGGAAATTCCGAGCTGCTTCGTGGAGCTTTTCCGAGCTTTACCAGCTTTCCGCCCAACGTTCTGACCCCCTCAATTTCTTCTTGTTTTTTGTTGTGCTTGTTTTCCTCATTTAATGCCGGTGTGCAGTTGTTTTGACCAAGTGACGTATTGTAATGCCGCCAGTCGTGTTGCCACTTTGATTGATTGGGTAATGAAGTTATTAGATAGGTGTGATTGTCAGGCCGTGCGAGATTTCGATTCCGATTTCGAGTGTGGCAGCGGCGAATTAAGTGCCTCATTAGATTGTTATGATAGGTGTGCGGCATTGTGGGCGGAGCTGCAAGTCGCGAAATGCAATTAATATGCAAACGAATGAGTGATTGAGTCGTAAACATAAGATTTTCCCATGATTTATGGTGGTTATTAAAGGTGATTTAAATGCCCCCGGAAAACAGCAATAAGAATAAAACGAAATGTTAAAGAACAAATCAAAATATGACATTGAATCCAATCTCTCAAAGCCATCACTTTTAATAACTCGAATTATTGCTGAGATAATTAATTTTGGAAATCTTCGAGGGCAATACAAAGCTTAAAATCTTTTTTTTTTAATATTTGCATAAATTAAAATGTTTTTTTTTTATCCAACTCTACCAGGAACTACCATATTTTCATATATTTACCATATATTCGATTTCAGACGACTCTTTGATTCGAATCATCGATTCGACTCTATGATTCAAATTATTGATTAGACTCCATGATTCAAATCATTGATTCGACTCTATGATTCGAATATATGATTCGACTCGATGATTGATTCGACTCTGTGATTCAAATCATTGATTCGACTCTATGATTCAAATCATTGATTCGACTCTATGATTCAAATCATTGATTCGACCCTATGATTCGACTCAATGATTCGACTCAATGATTCGACTCTATGATTCGAATTTATGATTCGATTTCATCCGGCTCTATGATTTGACTCTATGATTCGACTTAATGATTCGATGCTATGATTCGACTCTATAATTCGAATCATTGATTCGACTCTATGAATCGATTCTATGATTCGACTCTATGATTCGATTCTGTGATTAGATTCTATGATTCGAATCTACGATTAGATTTTATTCGACTCTATGATTCGACTTTTTGATTTGACTGTATGATTCGACTCTATGATTCGATTGTACGGTTCGATTTATTGATTCGATTCTAAGATTCGATTCAATTATTTGATTTCATTGGGCTCTATAATTCGACTCTATGATTCAATGATTCGATTCTAAGATTCGATTCAATGATTCGAATAATACAATTTCGTCCCAAGGGTTTATATAAGAGCTTTGGTATGTTGAAGGTGCAATCGTCACTAGTTTTTTACCTCGATTAGTGGTGTTTTTGTTTGATAGATTTAGAGCAAAACAAGGAAGAACGCTATAGTCGAGTACCTCGACTATCAGATACCCGCTACTCAGCTAAAGGGACCAAAGGGAAATGGAGATATGCAAGCAGCAAAGCGAGATTGAAATTCGCCACCTACCCGTGATCTCAAAATATGGCTTTGTTGGTAGACTGATTTAAGCGTTATGGGTGCAAGAGTGGGCGTGGAAAACTTTTTTGTGGGTCAATCGGTAGGTATTGACGAGACTAATACATTTCAGTCAAAATTTTTTTTCTAGCATGAAAATTGTGTGCGCCATAGGCTTTGGCGGTTTAACTGAAATGTATTGGTCTTGTCAATACCTATCGATTGACCCAAAAAAAAGTTTGCCACATAACCATATTTTGAGATCACGGGTAGGTGGCGCATTTCCATTTCGCTTTGCTGTTTGCATATCTGCATTTCCCTTTGGTCCCTTTAGCAGAGTAACGGCTATCTGATAGTCGAGGTACTCGACTATGGCGTTCTTCCTTGTTTTGACTAAAATCGGAGTACCAAAAAAACTGATGTGATATTTTCATATTATCAATAAATCTACTCAGAATTTGAAAAAGAATGGTTTATTAAACTGTGTAAACATTGAACAATATTTTTTTGTGTGTGTGGCCAGCTATCGGATGCCCCAAATAACTCAGAAATCGAAGTAAAGAAGACCCAAATTCTTTACTTCGATTTCTGATCAGAAGTCGAACTAAAGAATTTTAGTCTTCTTTTCTTCCATTTCTGATTGATTTGGGGCATAATTTCCTCACTTCTTTCGTTCATGAGCATCATCGAGCCATTCATGATGCCCAAATGAACCCAAATTTGGATCTTGATATGGATGTAAAAAGAATGGACATTGCCGTCTTCAACAGCGACATAGGAGTGATCGAAGTTCGATTTGGGGCCTCGCAGGCATAATTTGGAGGAGCTTGTGGGAGGGATCGACCTTGAAATTCAGCGTCCCTATGTCTTGGCCACGATATTGCTTATGGTGTCGGTCATCATTTTCCCACTTCTTCCGTTTATAATCATCAACGTGCAATTGATGATGACCAATGGCACGTTGATGATTATGAACGGAAGAAGTGAGGAAATGGTGAACGAAACCCGAAGCGATATCGTGGCCAAAACCATAAGGACGGATTTCAAAGTCGATCGCTTTTAAAGACGTTATTATCTATTCTCTTTGCAGTCATCTCAAAATACAACTTTGTGTTCACTTGAAGAGTGAAACAGTTTACAGCACTTAATTTCAAAGCGCAGGCGCAAGGGCTCACTTTGAGGTTTGGCAGGACTTCTGAGGATCCGGATCTTCTGGGGCACTGCTCCTGACGAACTGGTATGGGCGTAATTTAACCCGTTCTGCGTAATTGCTCCGCCGACTTGAGGCTCTCCTCACTTATTAGTTGCAGTTGCTGGGAGATGGTCTTTCTACATTGCTGTATCCACTTCTGAATCTCTGACTCATCTTGGGGCTTTGGCTGGATTGATCCCAAGCCAACTTCCTCAGAACCAGGAGCTAGCCAAGGAGCTGATGAGCCCCAATGTTCAGGAAAGTCAGGAATTAGAGTATCTGGTGGTCTACGCTCGTTCATTTGCATTTCTTCAACTGGCTCTACAGCCGAAGTCTCTGGAAGTTTCCAGAAACACTTCATCGTGCACACATTCTCCGAAATCCGGCTCCACAGCATCAACTTTGCGAAGTTTTACTTGTTCTGGGTTGGTAATCGTCCGGTTTTGAGTACCCTAGATGATCTTGTTGGTGGCATTAGCTGCTCGACGGATCTACATAAGTAGATGGGTTCAGAGCTCCTCTGGTTGGCAAACTTCAAAACGACGACCTGCACAAAAAACTTACTCAAAACGATGGTTCTCAGATCGGAGCACTGAAATGGTTTTAATGAAGTTGCTTTAATTTTTCGCTTAATTTACTAAACATGGCTTACCAGGAAGGAGTTCGGAAAAAGGTGTCTGATTTTGAAGTTTCGTTTATTTTTGAATCTTCTACAGGCATTTGGGACCTAAATAGAAGAAAACCCATTTTAATGTACGGAAAACATTTTAGCAGCTCAGCTATAAATGAAATTATTTGTTCCGTTCCTACCTGTCAAAAAACTTGGAAATCCTTCTGCTCTTTTTTCTTTTTTCTGATCCCTCGTGGTCGTCATATTCTTGCGGCTTTATCAGGGCCCTTCACCGTCATTCGAAAGAATCTTCTGGAGCATTTCGTTGCTAAACAAGAGATTCGTGAATTCCGTGTCCTCCTGGTCCAAAGAATCTGAGGCAAGTCTCACCTGTTTCGACGGAGTAAACAATTCGACTTTCGACGGAATTGGAATCGCACGAGGAAAAATAACTTATGCCGGGCAAGTGCGCACAGTCTGAAATCAATTTAACTAATATCAAATGTCGGTTTAAATTGTCGGACGTCAAATTTTTTCACAAGTCTATCGGGTTGCTGCGATTTCAATTTTCTTTCGATAAAACCTATCTACTGGAAACAGAGCTGTCACCCTATTTCCCTTAAAAGCCATGGCAACTCTGTAACATTTAAGTATCGCCAGTAAGCAATATTTATTATACCCGTTACTCGTAGAGTAAAAGGGTATATTAGATTCGTCGGCAAGTATGTAACAGGCAGAAGGAGCGTTTCCGACCCCATAAAGTATATATATTCTTGATCAGGATCACTAGCCGAGTCGACCATGTCCGTCTGTCCGTCTGTCCGTATGAACGCTGAGATCTTGGAAACTATAAGAGCTACAATACTGGGATTAGGCATGCAGATTCCTGAGATTCCTGCGCATCGCAAGTTTGTTTACTCTTCGGAATATCAATTCTTAAATATGTCAGAATTACGAATAAAATTAAAAAAAAAAATCGGACGACTTTAGAGTAGTTTCACAACATTGCCTAAGGGAATAACATGAAACTCGTTAAATTTGGACAATCAAATTAAGCTTATTTTAACATGGATTTGGTCCAAATATGGCTTTTTTGGTTTGTATAGAAGGTTAGTTTAAAGTGTTTCGAGTTTTTCTTACGTCAACAGACGCCTTACAGTCACTAAATTCTTAAAAAAATCCATATTTTCAAACAATCACATTGAAAAATTAAAACTTATATTTCAGAGTAATTATTTCTTTTCACCCAATCTTCTCAACTGTACAACTTTCTCGCTTGACTTAAAAAAGTAGATGGCCCATTACCACTGATGGGGTCGCTTTCCCATCCGTTCACCTGAGAGACCAGAGCAATCCAATTCCGCGATGGAAAATATGATAACAGCTCTGGCCGCTTGTCACTAATGCTGACAAGGTCACATTGTCAACGTCACTGCGCGTGCGTAAACCAATAAAATTTGTCCAAAACGGCCAAGACAATAGCCAAATAAACAAAGGCTAAGCGAGGGGTTTCTGGCGGATAGAGCCGCGGTAATGGGGCAGATACTTGTACGTACAGCCGCAGCTAAACTGGCTTTAATGATTCAATCCCAAATATGGGTGTCAATAAGTTAACAGACAGACAATGTTGCACTTGCCGCGGCCAAAAGCGTGGTCTTGGCCAAAAGCAGATGACTGGGAGCTGCAGTTCGAGCTTGAGCTGGACTTGGGAGGAAGATCTGGAGGTAAGCCTGGACCCAGACCCAGACACCGCCACAGAAATTATGAAATGCATTTAATTTTGTTGCACACTTTTTGTGCGGTCCGGCGGATTCAGCTGCACAGCTCCGCAGCTCTTAGGGGTCTTTGGAAAATCTATAAAAATTCCATTGCCCATAATTTAAGCCGTTGGCATTGGACTTGGACTTGGACTTGGCCGTGGTCCTCGTCGACCGACCGACTGTTTAAGGAAGCAAATGTTTCCGTGCAGCTGCCAACTGGTTGACAACTTGTGTGGACCCGTGTTTTATGTGCCATCGGCCGCTGCAGTCGGGTTTATATTGCAATCTGTCCGCAATCATGTCACATCGTTCTGCAACTGGTTCTGCCAGAGGTTTACCTCCCTTCCTCCCATCCAGCCCATCTAATGAGCTCCGAGGGCTTTCTTTCATATATATAAAAAGGTTTATTGCTGGGAAATGGTAAATGGCAAATGGCAAATGGAAGGGGGACCTTGGCTACACATAAATCTCAAGTGAATGCCGGTCGAGGATGCATAAAACTTCTGACATTAAGAGCCAGACGCCCGCGCTTAAGTCCAGCAGGACATCAAAAGTTGCTCCTGGCTGGCCGTAAACAAATAAACAACAAGCTGCAGAACAACTGGCCAAGAATTTGCCGCCTAACAAAGCCAAGGAGCTGAAAAAGAAGCAAACAAAAAAAAAATTGTAACGCAGTCAACAAGGACACTGTCATAACTTTTTTAATGTCCTGGACAGGGGCGGTCGGACAGCTGACAGTAGATAAATTCTAAGCAAGCAACTTTTGCAGCCAACTTGCACTGACATTCCTCTTGGCCACGTTGCACTCCCTGACAAATCGCAAAGTGCTCCCCAGTCAGCCAAAAAAAATGGAGACTCCAAACAGGTCGGGTCCAAAGGAAGCTGGCCAAAAAACTGCTTTGCCTCGCTTAAGATTTCCTTTGTCTCTTTGGCGAATCGCATAAATCTCCCCGAGCTACTTAATTTTTCAGTACGAACTGCATACAACTTTGGCATCATTCTCTAGCAGACTTTATTGGGTTACTGGCACCGCAGCGAGATAAAGTATGTATCGCCCAACCCCTTGTAATTGACAGTTGACACAGTTGGCCAACTTTGACAGGCAAACACAACCGGCCAAATTGAACTGAACCCGATGTTTGACTGAACTGAATTGCCAGTTGCATTGCATAATTGATTCCTTTTGTCTGTACTTAAAATAGGCTTCATTGGGTTTGTTCAAATATTAAAAGTACCCTATGGACAAAAAGTTAGTTTTTTTTCCAAGCTTCATTAAAGAAAAAAATTAAAATTATTGTAAACACATAAATTTAATGAATTTAGCACACAAAAAGCCATTACCAAGGCCACCTCGCTACCCAGAACACTTTTGTATTTGCATTTAATTTTATATTCCTACGCACTGTTTGCCAATCCTAAATCTATTTAATATTTATTTACCATGTTCGTTGGCATTGAGTAAAGAGCATTAAAATTATCTAATTGTTTGCACTTATTTATTTCGTTTAATTATTGTGAAATGCCAGACAAACTAATTAAAAATTAAAAATGAATCGACTGTGGGTTACTTAATTAACAGTTTGATTGATTGGTCTTATTGTATTACTGAAACAATCGTGCCCGTACACCCTGGATGTCATGAATGGACGACCTGCCCCCTTTAACCCCCATTTTTGACCCCTGGGACCTGATGGAATTGTTTTCAACCAAAAATCACGCACGCAATAATTACAAAATGCAGACACCGATATGCAAATGCCCATATTTGTATTTATATATTTTAATTACTGGAACAAATATTGCGGCCGGCTTATTATTTTGCATTTTGTGATGCGCCAGCAAACTCTGGGAATGAAATAGCAAAGCTGCCAACAAAAGCTAGGATTTGCATTTCAATTTAAATATTGTGTGACAATGCCTATAATGGCAATCCATCAAACGAGGGTAAACCAGGTCAGAAAACTGTCATTCATAAGCCATATATGTACAGAGTACATTGTACATGGGTCAATCAATCTGTTGTACGAATAAATTTCAGTTCAACACGGGAAGTAGGGAGTGTAATATAACTTATGACTATATATGATCTATCGTTAGTAATTAAATTTTTAAATAACATAGTTAGTTTTGGCGTAAATTCAAGGCAAAACCTTAAAGGTTTTTAATAACTGCTTAAAAAATTGTCTTTTTATTTTTATTAGAAAAGTAATGGCGTATAAATCGTTATCGAGCTATTTCTAGTGATGTAATATATATTTTAACAGCATACCTTCCTTATTATTTTTATGGATCACATTATATTTCTAAATATCTTTGTCTTATTGCCAATTAACCACGACCGTTTCCCTTTAGGTTCTGAGAGATGCCATTTTGATGGGCAAGCAGAGGCTGTCCTCCTTCCCTTTATGGGTGCCAAAGATCTTTGAGTTATTTGAGCAGGAATGGCGAGCGAAAACACCTGAACAGGGCTATAAAGATGCTGTCGGGATGTTGTCATTAGCATTGAAAAGAAATAAAATATAATTTATTATCAGCTGGTTGTCACAGCGACGAACGGAGTGGTCGGTCGCCTTGCCAATTGGGTGTCGATGCGAAATTATTAATTTTCTCGCAATGCCAGACCCTCCTCCTTTTACCTTTTCCCTTTTCCCTGCCGTATCTCTTGGCCAGATTTTCCTTTCCAGGACGGCGTGTGAATGCCATGGTGAGTGTGGAATGCGTTGGCCGTGGGTTTCCTTTTCCTCCGAACGCATCATTACGATAACAATCGCAGCTAAACGGCAGCAGACCGTCTCGGTCTTCATTTAAGATTCCTGGCGTTGCTTAATAATGCAAGATTCATGTCGATATGTCAATGCGTTTGCGCGCAATCGATCATTTTGGCGAGAGAGGCGGCCCAAGGAGCCGTATTGGAAGACCCAGCCAGAGGACCCAGTAGATTCCGAACATCCAGAAGATCCAGACAGACCCACAACCATTCACCAGAGTGGACTGTCCTTGTTTGACATAATGTCGCCAGATTAACAGCGGCGATAAACCAGCGGACAGTTGTTTAGTCGAAGGCATTATCTTGGCGTAGTTGGCAATTTTATGGGCCGGCTTATTACACGATTTGGTCACGGCTAACCATACATCACGCAGCGGTGATAGCGATAAGGCTGCGGACCAGTGTCACCGAAGACCAGGTCACCGAGGCAACTTATCAATTAAGCAGTTGGTGATCTCTCATTACACGATCGCTACTGTCAAATATCCCATAATTTATAGTACACTCCGATCGTTCCAGCCAGCGATCAATCGACCATCGAGCATCGAGCATCGAGTACGTCAAGCGATCGGCGAGGAACATTGATTTATGCCAGCCCGTCCAGCACCACTTTTTGTGGCAGTCGGACAGAGTTGTCATAAGGACAACTGCAGACGTCGAACAACTTGCTGCCGCGGACACATCCCTTTTGCAGCGTTTTATAGTTATTTTATGATAATTCCCCTGGACAAAAGTATTTCCAAATGTAGCCCACTCCGAGGGATATACGCTTTGAGCATGTCTATTTCCCATCCATCATCAGTTGCTGCGATTATTTCTTCGAATATTTATTGAACACTCTCATTGCTATGCGACTCTGGTATTCCAGATATATATGTATTTTGGGGAAGAAAAGGCTCTCATCGTTATTTTCAAGGTGTCAAAACATAATTGTGGACAAGGCAGATTTGAATGG